TGGTGGCAATACTTGCTTATAGCCTTTATTTAGAAACAGGCATGATATCACTTCTCTTGTTTAAGCAGTCATGGAGCCCGGATTCAAAGGGAGAAGATACAGACATCATCTCTTGAAGAAAGTGTTATGAAAGGATTCAGGAGCCCTATTTTCAAACATTTGTATATACCTTTCTGACTGTAGAGAAAAATAATGCCAACCTCTTGGGTGGATTTCTTTCCCTTTGTAGCTTTGTCACAACTGTGGTGAGGTATTTAACAATGTGACGGGCTGCTTGAGGGGGTCCCCTGGGCTGATGTGGAAACTCCACAAAGGCAGCGGCCATGCCTATTGTCAACACATGATGGAACCCCCACAAATATTTGCTGAAAGAACAGAAAGGAGGGGTCAGAAATATGAGTAGAAAGGCCAGGAAAGAAGATTGGAGACCAATTCAGAAGTCCTAACCACAGAAGATGTAGCTGAGACTATCCAGAGGAAGGGATGGTCATTTCCAGAAAGGGAAATGGCAATAATTGTGTCACTTAGAACAAAGGAGATGTCATTATCTTAGTATCTCTGTGTTCAACATACTCAGAAGTTACATACATGAAAGGGGACACACATTACAAGTCCCTAAACATCGACAATGAGAGCAAAGGCTTTAAACATGGGATGAACTCTCTGTATAGTTAGGTGGATTGACTACCCACACTAAATCTTAGCATCCCCATCAGTAATAGGAAGGTACTAGTCATACCACCTTCACAGTATCACACAGTATAATTTTAATACTATGCAGTGTTATGTAAAAGGAAGAGTTTATTCAGGATGATCAGAGGAGAGATGGCCATTGGAAGCTGACGTGCTTGAGAAGACTCCATGGTGCAAGTCTACGGCTCATTTCCACCTCAGCACCTGCACTGTGGCTTCCTGTCATGTCATGAGCCCACCTACCGGTGATGCATTTCAGGCTTCATCTCTGACTCATTGCAGTTTTTGACACTATGGATTGGCTTTCCTTCTAGAAACGTCTGTGACACACACTGTCCCCCCAACTCTTGCCTCCCTGTCTTCTTTTCTGACCCTTCTTGCTCTTGCTTTAGGAGTCAGTCCTCCCACTGAAGCTTTCTCCAGCTCATCTCCACTTTCCCTCTGTATAGAACATACAGAGGAAAAGTCAGCCACGTTTTCTGTGGTTAGGACTTCTGAATTCATCTCCAGCCTGCTTTCCTGGCCTCTCCACTCATATTTCTAACCACCCCTTTCTATTCTTTTAGTAGATATTTGTAGAGAGTCCATCATGTATTGGTGAGAGACATGGTCTCTGCCTTTGTGGAATTTCCACATCAGCCAAGGGGACCCCCTCAAGCAGCCCGTCACGTTGTTAAATACCTCACCACAGTTGTGACAAAGCTACAAAGGGCAAGATAATCCACCTGAAAGGCTGACATTATTCTTCTACACAGTCAGAAGGGTATGGGGGATTCTGCTGAGTAAGGGAAGAGGAGGAGGGGCCTTGACTGATTCCTGGCAGAGGGGGCAGATGGGCCGAAACTTGAGCCAGGAAAGCGTGGGAAGAGTGGGGTGAGCAGAGAGAAGGCTGAGGGAGCAAGCGGGCTGCCGGAAAGTCAGGAGGGAGGAGCGGCAGATGAAGCTGGAGACGGGAAAGGGCCTCAGGGCGCTGTGGGCTTGAGAAGGGTACCGTTACATTTTCACTTCTAAAAAATTTCTCTTGTAGCCAAGTGTGCTAGTGCACACCCTTAATCGCAGCACGAGCGAGGCAGAGGCAGGCTGATCTCTGAGTCTGAGGCCAGCCTGGTCTACAGAGAGAGCTGCAGGACAGCCAGGGCTACACAGAGCAACACTGTCCTGGAAACCCATTTAAAAATTCCTCTTTTGTGGGGAAGAGGGGTGAACCTGGAATGTGAGTCAGGAGATTTTGAGTGTCCAGGTGAGTAATGGTTATAGTTTGTGTTACGATTGTGACAGTAGAATTTAAGAGAAGTGGCCAGACTCTAGCGGCAGTTAGGCTCTAAGGCCTCCAGGATTTAATGATGCGTATCCTGAGGGGATAAGAAGGAGCGGGTTGCAAAGTGATGATTGCTTTTCCGGGAGGGAACTTAGATGTGGATCAGAAAGAAAACTGTTGACTGTTTTGCAGGATGGGTTTCCGGATAAGGAGGTGGTTCTGAGGGGTTGTCTGGATAGGTGGAGGAAGTATTTGAGTGTTCAGAGCTCAGGAGACTCTAAAATGAGGACAGCAGCCAGAGAGCGGGTGGTGTAGAAGACCAATCGTGAGTGACAGAGAGACACAAAGGATCTGGGAAGTCCAGTATAGAAAGGTCAGCAGGAGAACTACAGGGATGACTAGAGGGCAAACAGGAAGTGGGCACTTAAAGAAGGAGAGAGGTCCAAGAAAGTACTATAGGGGGTCAATAGCAGGAGGACTGGAAAAACGTCCTGCAGGTTTAGTGGCCCAGAGGTCACTGCTGAGATCCATCTTGACACCATGAGAGAGCAGGGTTGACTAAGGGGTGAGGGGGCGAGGAGCAAACAGAGGCAGAGGGTTTGGCAGGATAAAGTTGGGGTGACTTCTAAAGGAAATATCCGAACATGCTTCATAGTTGCAGAGAAAGACCCAGTAGCAGGGGACAGGTTGATGAGCCAGGAGAGTCTAGGGTAGTTGATGCTGTCTGAGGCTGTCATGAAGGTGTGGGCCAAGGGCCCAGGGCTAAGTAGGGCCTGGATTCTGACAGTAGGGACGGACCGGCAGGAGGAAAAGTGTAGATGCTCAGGCAGGTGTAGGTGGGGCTGGAACAACAGCGCTGGGCGAAATTCAAGGAGCTTCTGAGGACTGAGGCAGTTTCTGAGACCAAGGAGGTAATGGATAGGGCAAGAAGGGTGGTTGAGAGAATAGAAAGTTGGGGTGGCCTTGACTGGAGAGAGGAATGGATCCTAGAGCTGCATGGAGGCAATAGAAGCCCATTCAAGTCTGGGGACCATGAAGGCAGAAGGAGATGGATTCACAATGTGACTTTCCCCCCAGAGAACTTTGCATGAAGAAAACAAGTACTGAGTTCACTCAAGATTAGGTTTGTCAGCCAGTAGATGTGATACAAGGGCCTTCGTACCTGATAGACATGCTGTTTTCAGTATGCCTCAAATCCAGGAGCGCTTTCCCCTCGTTCCCAAATCTCCTCTTTCTAGGTTGTCTTACTGATAATACAATCATCTAATCGCAGTCATTTCTCAAGGGTATGTGATATCAGATAATTTAAAACAATCATCTCTTGTGATCATCACAACTGCATAGAATATGTATTTCCTGCAAGTGTGTACCTTTTTACAGATGTGGAAACTGGGGCTCATTGGGGGATAGATCTTACTCAAGGTATGTAAGTAATGACAATCTAGAAAAAAAAAACTTAGGTTCACCAGACTCAAAGTTCTCTTCCCATCACGACACCAACTCTAAAGCCCATTTCCTCAAAACCATCTACGTCTGAGACTTCCCTTCCTCTCACCCCTTACAACACATCAGCTGTCACATGGTATTTATTCACCTCCACCATAGCTCTTATATCACCTGCTTTTTCCTTCCACGAACATCCATCCTGCTCATTTCCTGGTTAAGCGCACCAGGATGTAAGTTCCATAAGGGCAGGGATCATGATGGGTCTTGCCTGTTATGTCCGCAGGATGGTAATAGTGCCCGCAGATGGTAGGCTTGCTAAATACTTGTTGACTAAAAGCATCATCTATTGGGAGAGATCATTCTCAATGGGCATCTTGCATTTCCAGATGTCTCATAGGCAGAGGCACCGATGGCTTCTTGTTCCAATCTGGTTTGGTGGATCTTTGCGCAGTGAACTGCCTCAGAAAACAGAGATAGTGGAGGGGAGTTTTGTTTGCTGTCCTTTATGATAAAAATTCTGTCGGTGCAAATCAACAGCAGTTTTTCTTGTAGTCCATTATAAAACGTTAGGCTTCCCTAAACTTGAGGCTACTCCCATAGGACTTGAGGATTAGGAGAAATGATCTGAATATGAAGCGTGTACAACTCGCTGTGTCCAGAGTAATACAAGTCCATTGTCTCTGGCCCTGGAGTTCTGTCTCTTCTGTCAACATCCATAAAACTGTTGCAGGACAACTGGTTAGACTGTAAGAACAGAGTCTCAGTCTCTTCCGAGTTCTCGCTTCTGGTCTTTATCAACTTTAGCTAGGACAATGAAGATGATCTCACCTTCTCCATCTCACCCAAACAGGTACCCGCCTGTGATATACCCAAGGTCCCCTAGAGCAGAGACAGTCATTTCAGACTCTCCAAACAACACTTCCAGCCAGCCAGGTCCCGTCACCATGTCTAACTTCACCTCCAGCCCTGCTCCAGCTCAGGCAACCACTTGTCTGCACACATTCTCCACTCTTGCATCCGCCCTGGGCACGCGGTCCCCTCCACAGTGGCTGCCCTTTCTCCTCGTGTCTATACATTATTTAAAGCCAGCATCCTTCAACAACTTTTTGGTACCCAGTTACAATTCCCCCTCCCTCTCGCTGCTCCCCACTTCATTCATTTGGCAGGGGTCTGGGAAACTGTGTTGTGCAGGGCTTGGCCTTGTACGGTGGTAGAGTGCTGGAGGAAAAGGGCAGCCCAAAGGTAGGAATAGAGGCAACATCCGCATAGGGATGGAAAGAATAACCACGGGGTAGGATTGGAATCCTGAAAGAGGGTCGAAAGGAGGTGAGTCTGTAAAGACAGGTGAGGTCCCGGGCTCAGGTGGCCTTTGGCCATCGGGGTCCATTTTCGCGAGGGCAGATGCCCTAAGGAGAGAGAGCATTCAGGTCTCAAGAGGCTGCTCCCGGCAACCCTTCTTCTGCTCCCTGCCCACCCCTCTGCCTGTGTCGGCCATCAGAGCCTCGCTCGCAGCCCAGGAGCCTCGCATTGACGCGGGCCCGCGCGTGAGTCAAGCCTGCGTCACGGCGCCCCGCCGCCAGGGTGGCCTTTCGGAAAGCGAGGGAACAGTGCGCGCCGCGCTCCGCCCAGCTCCGTTCCGCTCCGCAGAGCCAGTGCGGACAGGGCGCGGGGAGGGCGGCAGTCGGCCGGGGCCTTCGCAACCACGCGCTCCCTCCGCTGCGGGACCTGGGCCCCGGGGTGGCTCCCTAGAGCCCCGAGAGGGCGAAGGGCGGGAGCAGGGTTGGGACTGACGGCGAGGGAGGGAACGAGAAGCCAGCTGAGCCGCGTGCGCCGGCGCGCGCAGCTCCGGGTCCCCCAGCCCGGGCCCGGGCCCGTCGCCGCTTGACTCCAGTTGCCCTCGGGAAGGACGGTGCACCTACGATCCGTCGGGGACCACGGCCACTCGGCGGTAGTCCAGGGACCGAGTCCACGCGACGGCCCACGCGGGACAGGTGAGTCGCCGTCTGCTCCCCGTCTGGCGTACCCGAGCTAGCCACCGCAACTTTGCCTGCTGCGGCCCCGCCCCAGCCTGGAAGGCCGGAGGCCCCTGGTGCGTGGCGGCGCTCCTCCAGGTCCGCCCGACCCTGCGCTGGCGCGGGGGCTCCTCCCGGCGCTCCGGCCACCGTTGCCTGGCGACAGAGCCCAGGGGCGGCGATGAGCTGGCTTGTCAGGGGTGCTCGGCAGCTCCTGCACAGGTTGGACTTGGGCTTCAGCTTCTGGAGCTCAGGATGCCCCAGAACTCCGGAGGTAACAGGACAGCTGCAGAGGCGAGGACCAGCGGAGGACCAGGGAGGCCAGCTCGGTGGGTCCCTGTGCCTGGAGCGCGCCCAGGGCGCAGCTCAACCAGCAGGCTCCGGCGCAGCTGGGGACCCCAGCCCCAGCCACTCGGCCTCGGGCCCGTGACCTTGACGGTAACATTGGCTAGAGAAGCAGTACGTTCGCGCCGGAGATAAATATTTAATTCCCAGTCCCGGGGCTGCTCCTCAGTGAATCTGGAGTTAGAGTGGAAGAGGCCCTTCCTCCCCCGAGGGAAGCGCATCTGGGGACCAAAAGACAGAGGCAGGAGTCATGCACTGGGGGCCACAGTCTAGAGGGGCCCGCTGTCTGGAGAGAGGCCTCCGCCACATTTATACCTGTGCAGACGGTGCTATGAAGGGATGTTCGCAGTATGCCAAGGCTGCTCCCCCAGGGGCGCGGCCGCCTTGGAAGGAAGCCCAATGCTTCAGTTCTCTTGAAAGCCCAAACAGCTCTGTCAGGGGTTCAAGTCAAGAAGTTCTGAGGCTACTTGGACCCAGTTGCTGTCAAGTGGGCTTTATTCTTTGAAAAATTTCCTTCCTCCCTCTCTCCCCACCCACCCTTCCTCCTTTCCTCTCCCTCCCTTCCTCCTCCCCCCTCTCCCTCTCTCCCTTTCTCCCATCCTTCCTGTCCCCTTCTTTAGAAATAGTTTAATGGGCCGTATGACTTAGGACATTTCAAAGTAGAGCTACTTTGGGAGGTAGTTTAGCTGCGAACAAGAGGCAAGCTGGGTTGGGTTAGAGCAATGGGGTTCATGAAGAAGAAAGATTGCCGTTGCCCTTGTTAACAAGAACTTCCAGGGACTGAGACAATCCTGGACTGGCTCTACAGTATCTGTCAAGCTTTGGTGGGTTTCTGGCTGAGTGGAGCGTAAGCATCTTGTGCCTTCAGTGGTTCTCACATTGTATCATGTCCAGTAAGGTAGATCCATCTCCTGGGAAAGAAGGACTTTCAGGTCACACCTGGTTGCCCTTGGCGACGGACAAGGCCACCAGAGGTGGTAGCTCCCGTGTGTTGTCTTTTCCTCTAGTGGAGCCGCTGTGGCTAAGTAGGTGGTGAGCTGAGTAGGGAATTTCTGCAGCTTAAGCCTTCAGTGACTCAGTGCAGGAGGTGAATCGTGCCCACCAGCTCTGATTGGAGTGTGCTCAGCCTGAGTCACACCGAGTCGTGTGTCAGCTGTCTGTGAGTTCGGTGCGGTTCTTTAGCAGGACTCGTGAGCTGGAGAGGCCTGAGCTCCGAGTGACTTGGGGAGGAGGGGGGGGGGCGCGTGAGTCTTTGGAGCAGATCTCAGTTTGCCTGCTGTCAACGAGGGCCTGTTGAACTCTGTCCTCATGGGGATGGCCAGCAGGGTCAGGCTGCAGAGGGGGCACAGTGTTTGACAGTTTGGCCTACTGCCCCCTCAGGTGCCAGCATGGTGATCTTGGGCAAGTCACTGCATCATGGACCCTCTGTTCCCAAAGTCGTTAAGGAGGATGCAGTTGGTGCCGTTTTACACAGTCTTACTTTGTGGCCAGTGCTAGACATATAGCAGGTGCTGACAGACATCCGGTTCCCACCTCTTCTCTTGTGGATCTCAACCAGAGATGATTCCCCCCCCTCTCCTGCTGTGCTCTGAGTGTGTGTGTGTGTGTGTGTGTGTGTGTGTGTGTGTGTGTGTGTAGGCATAGGCATATGAAGGAGGCCAGATCCTGCACGATTGACCCCACAATTCTGCTTCAAATGGACCTAATTCCAACCTTCAAGTCTGCCCTGGATGGGGAAGCTGGAACAGGAACCAGGCTAGTAAGTCAGGTAAGTAGTATGGCCACTTACAATGGCTCCTGGATGACTCCCAACAGCGAGACCTTGACTCGCTGGTATTACGTATGACTGTGGCCTGTCCCCAAGCTGGGACACCTGCTGAGTAGATTTCAGGGGTCCTTTCTCTTTGAATGGGTCTTGCCATCTCCCTGTTCACCTGCCCTATCTGTCATGGAGTTGGAATCTTCAAAAGAGATGCTCAGTGGAGCTGTTGTTGGCTTTTTCTAGAGAGGAAAGAGAAGAATGGGTCTCCTACCTTTTTGAGGGATTCTGGACTTCTTGTCCTTCACCTTTGTAAAATGTCTGGATCTAAGGCTGATCTCAGGTGTATTCACTTCAAGAATCAAGAACATAAGATTCCCCCAAGGTAGCCAGAAAAAGTCCAAGCTGACCTGTGGGACTGCAGTTGGCTACTATGAGAAGGGGGGGGGGGGGCTACATTGCGTGTTCACTCTGAAGTCAGTGCCTTCCCTATTTCATCTGGAAACACATTCCATGACCAATAAAGACAGGGATGAGAGGATTCCAGAGCAGGAGCCTCCTGCCTGGTGCTGCCCCTCCCCTCAGACTCTCCTGTCCAATTCTGCTGCAGTAGGAGGATTCATCATTAATCCCTCTAAAACCGCTAAGATAAGCAGCAGAAGAGTTTAAAAAAGAAGGTGGATTCCCCCCCCCCCCGCCCCAACTCCCAGGCAAAGCCTAACTTATCACTGGCTTCCAGGCTATGCTGCAAGAAATCCTGACAGCCAGACATCTGAGAACCGGGGTGGGAAACAAAACAAAACCCTTGCATCTCAGACCCTGCGCCAGCCTCCCCTGAGCAGCACCCTAGGCTGGTAGAGGTCAGAAGCACAATCCTGGATCGCTGATGCACTATCCCAGATACAAGTGAGGCAGTGCTCTGAGGGAAATGCCTCCTACATTCCAGTCCCTTCCAGGCCCCCTCCCTCCCTCCCTCCCCCACCCCTTTTTTCCCTCCAGATAGTGTCTCAGGTAGCCCAGGCTGGCCTCCTTACTCACCTTGTGGCTGAGAATGACCTTGAACTCCTGACCCTTCTGCATCCCAAGCGCCAGGATTACAAGTGTACAGTAGCACACACGTGATTTTAGCAGAGGAAAAAGCGGTTCTGGACTGCACACTTCATACTGTGGCTGGCACACATAGATAATACCCAGTTTTTTATTGAGGCCTCTGTGCTTTGCTAAGTACTCTCTCTACAGGCAATCTTCTTCAATCATCCCTGTGATCCCAGGAGATAGATATTGCTATCTGTAGTTTATAGATGTGGATTTTGAGGTTCAGAGAGGTTAACCAATTTGCTCAAGGTCACTCAGATTAGTGAATTGCTTCTGTCAGACTTCAAATCCCATGTTCTTAACCACTTCGTGATGCGTTTCCAATAACAAGTTCTTAATGAATGCAGCTGACAGTGTAGGCATTTATCAAAATGAAGGTTTATTAAAATCTGTGGGCTCTGCTCTTCAAACTAGTGTCCTGGGAAAGGGAGAATCAGATCTCTACCAGTGGGAAACTGGTAGAAAATGACCAGACCCATCCTGCCAAGGTTTAAGGCAGATGACATTTGGTTCCCGGTGAGTCAGAATCCAGAAAAAGACCCTAGGCTCTATCTTGGTGCGTTATATCCTGTTCCTGTCTTTCTCTTCCTGACTCTCCAGCTCCAGATTTCACTCCCTTCAAGTTTGTCCACTCCAGGCTGGTGCCTGGAGAAGGGAGGAATGAGGCGGAGCAGGTCAGATGCTGCTCTGAGAATCTCTGCATCTGCAGAATCAAGGACAGCCAGGAGCTGATGGGAGCTCTGGTGTGTCAGGTTTCCCTGCTGGACAGTCTGTGCCAGGGATTTGCAGTCTCTGATGAGGCCTGGACCCCAGAGCCAAACTGCTGGCATTAGCAAGGTTATTACTGTTGCTGCTGGCAGGGGCTGGCGAGGGGGGTGCTGCTTGTTTCCTGGTCACATCCCACGGAGACTCTCCTCTTCTCAGGCTTCTACCACGTGTGTCCTTGGCTGTTCTGGGAAAGCTGGCATCTGGTTCCTCCTGTCTGTCTGTCTCTTCTCTCTCTGAGAAGTTGCCATTCCCAGAGGGGGGAGTTCCTGTAAGTAAGGATAGATAACTGAAACATAAGCATTAATGGTCCCCTGGCCCAGCAGACAGAAGCTACCCAGGAACCTTTGCTTCAGGGGCAGCCATTTTGTGGAGATGCGATCTTCTGATAATCATTCTTTCTATCCCTCTTTCCATGAGTATTTTTTTTTTTTAGTATTAAGGCATTCATTGATGTGTAAATTCAGTTATTTAAAAATACATACTCATATATCACTGTGCACAGGTAATGCCCTGAAATAAATGTGGAGCAAGCACATGGGAGAACATAGGCTCAGAGGCAGTACGAATATTACTGAGTCTCTAAAGTGTTCTTACCTCAGACCCGGGTATGCTTTGTTAGGGAATGGTTCTGGGTCCAGGGAGTCTTAGGCTGCCTCAGTCTACATACAACCTGGAGTTGAGGTGTAAAGACCCGTTTCTACTGTAGTTCTCGTGGGATGGGAGGGAAGCAATACTAAGGGCCAGAGGAGCCCCTGATCTAAGCCCTGGCACGGAGCTTACCCAGCAGTTCATCTGAAGATCGCACGCCATCACTCACACTTACTGGTTTAACTAGGATTTCTTATGTGCTACTGATTTGCCAACTATTCTTTTTCTCACAAATAGAATTCACTCGTCCACATTCCCAAAACTCTGTCAATGATATTTTTCTCTGTGTAACACTCGCAGACCGCCGGGCGGTGGTGGCGCACGCCTTTGATCCTAGCACTCGGGAGGCAGAGGCAGGTGGATC